AATAAAACGTAAGCCTTCCTCGATAATTTTAGCCCTTTTCCTTTATTGTTTGACAATCATTTTCTAATTAGCTTTAAAATTTAGCGCCAGTGTCTCAATGAAAGTCCCGGATATGTCACTGAATTCTGGGCGATGGAGACGCTCAAATGCCATTTCCGACTCAATTCGGTAAAAAGATTACAACAGCTCTTAAAATACCAGCATTCATGGCCATCGCGGAAGTTGACGATCGAGTTGGGTATCAAAGATCATATAACTGATATGTGACACATGACCTTGATGTGGATGGCACATGTGATAATTATTAACGAAATAGGACACTCTGGCCTACTCCTACTGATATGTAATGGAAAATATACTATCGTTGAACAAAATAAATCAACTGTCCTTACTTTACATCCAGTGTTTTAGGATATTTAGGGCGATCCGGGCTTTCGTCAGTTATCAGTAAAAGCCCACCGCAAATGTCAGTTGTCAGTTAGTTTTTCAGCGATTTGTCAGGTGTCAGTTAAAATTTTGGCCATTTGTCAGCTGTCAGTTAACCCCATCCAGACCCTCGATTGAAGTAAAAAAAAAAAGAAAAGGCGTACAATCTAGATGATTTTTCTGACGATGAAGAGTCCGAATGGCTGGCGAATATTGATCCAAGTTTATTGGATAAATCGAAGGAAGAAAAGGAGTTAGATGACGATGAAATTTCATCACTTATTGAAGAAAATAAAAAGAGCAACACGAGAACGCGCTAATTCCGTTCCGCTTCGTATACTTCTGTCACGCACTCCCCGTTCATAAATATCCGCGAAATACGCCCGCACTGAAATAACAATTTGGCGTGTTGGATAATAAATAACTTATTAGACGTTTTAGTGCGTTGCATCGCTGAGTATTTTCACTCGTTATTTGTATTTTGACTCGCTCTATGGGCTCGTCAAAATTGAGCACGACTCGTCAAAATACTCAGTGATACTACATAACAAAACTTCTAATAAGATATATATATATATTTATTACACGACTCGGGCAGTAAGAGGGCCAATAACTAAAATTAACCAATCAAAATGCCCTATTGCAGGTCAATATTCTCTCAGTATTGGACCGGGCACACTCCCAAATGGTCCCGAATGATACCGCACTTGTGTCCCTTTGAACTTCAGTCGTATAATAAATCTCTTATTAACCAAGCTTGCTCGGGACCGTACTGGAAGAATATCGGCCCTCGGTCTTTTTTGTACGGACCTCGCTGCGCTCGGTCCGTACTGTCAAGACCTCGGGCCGATATTCTCCCAGTACGGCCCTCGCGCT